GAGTTTCTCTTCTTTTTTTCTAGTGTGAAAGAGCCTTCACCCCTCTGCATGACGACATCGTTGAGGATATGTTGTCCCAACTTCCAGTTTCGTTAAGATTATTCGTTCCAGTTTACATGGTTGACATCACTCCGGCTACATCAAGAAAGAGGAATTGGGAGGAGTTTCACAGCCACTTATTAATGACTAGATGTGTTCTGATTGGTTGTTTCCTTTTTTCAATCTGTTAACTGTTTCTTTGCTGCTGGGAGGAACAGTAAAGGAAGTAAAGCAAATATTCGCCTCCTGTCTTTAATAAAATTTAGATTATTAGGTCACTGACGCTAGAATAATCTCTAATTGTGTCACACAGATGACTAATAGGTAATGTATTACCGGGCCTTAGAATGGCCGGACTTAACGTACCAAAGAATAGTCAGGATACTTGCCGAGGTCATGGGATATAGAAAGAGACACAACAATAAGAGAAAGCCAGAAGTCAGGGATGCCAGAATACAGGGAAGTCAAAATCAAAGCCAAAGTCAAAAACCAGAAGAAACTTGAATCAGGAACGTGCTCTCTGACAACCACAAGGGAAACCACGACAGGGCACTGAGCAGGCTGAGAACTGGGCCTAAATACCCCTCCTCTAGATCTGATAGGCTGTAACCGGCCTTTGACCCCAAAGGCAGTTACCAGGTTCTCATTTGCATAATTGCTGCTCAGTATTAACCCTTCTGTGGATTTGGTTGCTGCTCGGCACAACTTTTTCTGTGTGGACAGTAAATGCCATTAACCACATTTTTATAAGCGGATGAATACGTGACAGTGTCCAACCCACATTTAGCCCGCAGGCCTACTAGTTAGCCACCACTGAGTTAAATGGTTTGCCTGCTGTGTATGATAACTACATGTTTCTTCAGGTTGACTTCTAACTTCAGCAGAGGAGATAAGGCTTCCCAATTCAAAATGTTTGGGGTATGAGGAACCAAACCACTATCTCTAAATATAAAGCTGCCAAGATGACCATGTTCATTGATTAACTGATAAATTGATTAAAATGACACTAAGATGACACTTGCTCAAGTGCTTATCAATTCCTGCACTGACTATTGTAAGTCACTGTTAGTCACCTTATAAATAGTGATGTCCCGAACGGTTCGCGAACAGTTCGCCACGAACGGTTCGCCGCGGACTCATCATTGAGTAAACTTTGACCCTGTACCTCACAGTCAGCAGACACATTCCAGCCAATCAGCAGCAGACCCTCCCTCCCAGACCCTCCCACCTCCTGGACAGCATCCATTTTACATCCATTGTGAAGCTGCATTCTTAGAGAGCTGTCCATGAGGTGGGAGGGTCTGCTGCTGATTGGCTGGAATGTGTCTGCTGACTGTGAGGTACAGGGTCAAAGTTTACTCAATGATGAGTCTGCGGTGAACCGTTCGGGACATCACTACTTATAAATACTGTATTACTCCATTTCCATCAGCAATGAATGCGGCTGGTAGGCTTAATTACCAACTCACTTCTATTCTCACATCACCCCATTGTCAGTCCTTACACTGGGTTCCTGTCATAATTCAATTCAAGCTACTGACACTAACATACAATTCCAATCCTCGTGATGCTTCTTCTTCAATGAACAAATACACCCCTTGTTTTTAAATTCACTCTGTGAATGACCACATTTGCTCTCAATCTATTCTCATATTGTCCTCATCTACAGTTTTTCTCAAGGGCCATACCATTCCTAAGGAATTACCAACCTTGTCCTCTTAGACTTTACACTAGCTTCAAGTCTTTAAGAAGTCTCTGTTTGCACCTTCCTTGTGGAGGACATTTCCCTTGTGTCCCAAAAAGTGGGACACCAGGGAAGTAAGTTGGGATAGCGGGACAGGACCCTAAAATTGTCTAAAAAGAGTCACATTTAGTTTATTTGATTGAGTTTCTCAGTTATGAAGAGCAATGGAGGCTTAGTTAAGGAAGGAACGGATAAGCATTACTTTATTTTAAAAATGTGCAGTTAATCGTTACTTCATTTTAGTTCAAACCATGCAGCATCATGTCTGAATGTATCTATGCACATATCTTATCTCTCTGCTTTGAGATCTCACTCATCTGCGGATATTTGATGTAATATTGTCTAATATCCTAATAAATGTAGATATCTGTGAGACCGATCTGTGCATGTATACTGCTATTTGTAACTGTAACCCTGCACAACGAAAATAAAAATTAAAAAGAAAAAATAATAATAATTCACTTGGACATATGTGCATATTTTACTTATATAGTTTGTATTTATATTATCCCCATTCTGTGTGTCCTAGATAACTCCCTGGGAAAGTTCAGAGGTTTGGACGTAGCACTTTGATGCATTACAGCAGCATAGCTTCGGTAAGGGAAAAAGTAATTTAGACATAAAAAAAGGGGTAAAATGCATTTGGATCTATTAGGATAGAAAGTCTTACATTCTGAGATAGATCTCCTTAAAAGCTGCCAGCGTGGGTACAGGAGGACAGTCTATGAAAGACTGTAATCTGCACACAATAGTCCTAAACCTCAGACTTTGATGTAGCAGAGTCTGGTTTAAATCACTGTGAAGCTAAGATATTCACACAGGCACCAAAACTGCCAGTGAGCTTGTCAAGACTAATATTCATTGTGCAATGCTGCACTCTGCAAGCTGCTAGCTAGAGTCTTGTTTTTGGTAGTGATTTTATTTGGGGGGTGGGGGCACAGTTTGATTGTTTGGATACCCACACTAGGTACCATAATAATGCTGGGATAAACAGCTTTGTAATGATGTGCTCACCAATATATAAAGCATTCTAGGGTGTTGACATGTTTTTCAGCTTACTTGTATTATTTTTTAATAAACGTGACAAATTTCTGTGAAACTGAATACTGCACTTTTTCTGCATTTACATTTTTTTTTATTGAGTTTTTATTTTTAATATTGGATATTGAAGCAAATAATGCCCAGGCCAGTACTGCATGTTATGTTTAATGCATAGTATAACGCACGTCAAATTTGAATTGTTTTTATTTATTTTTACCAATATTTATATTTCATTTAATTTAGTCAGGAATAATAAAGCAGTTAGTGATCTTGTTCACTAGAAGAGTGGCCTAGTGATAATGGATTGATAGATCTAGACCCCTTCCTGATACATTTCAATGAACTCAAGAAGGGGGTCTGTGTGCTCATTCTCCTCCCTGACCACTGCTTTAGGAAATTATCTCAACTGACACTTGTCACACTGATACCACCCAGACAGCTGAGTTCACTTATTAACATTTCAATAGACCTCTCTAAATTCAGTCACCTAACCTATAGGTGGAATTACTGTCTCTCATTGTGCATATAGGGCTTTCATGGACAGTGAATGATGTATCCTTAAGGGCCATTGTCATGCCAAATAAAATGTTGTGTTATATTTTGCTTCTACTTTTACCCAATATATTATACAAAGACATAAATAGTGATTAAAGGGCAACTGTCACCTCAACACTTTTTTTTTTCAATAATGATCATTGTATCAAGTTTTAAAAGAAAGAAGATTATTTGTTAAATAAAGTATATATGTAAAAAAACACATGAGAAAAACTCATCCCTACCGCTAGTATATGACAATATCCTCAGCCATATACAAACAACTTAAGTCAGACAGTGTTTGTAAACCAAATGTTATTCTCTATGGCAGGCATAGGCAACCGTCGGCACTCCGGATGTTGTGGACTACATCCCCCATAATGCTCTTACACCCATATTACTGGCAAAGCATCATGGGAGGTGTAGTCCAAAACATCTGGACTGCCGAAGGTTGCCTATGCCTGCTCTATGGTCTTCGCTGCAGTGACATCATCAGATTGACTGACTGTCAAATTCAAACACTGGCTGACCCAAGGTGTATGTATATGGCTAAAGGATCCTGTCATACACTAATGGTTTTCTTATTTTTATGTATACTTCCTTTAACAAAAGAAGCTGTTTATTTTCAAAACTTGATGAATGGGTTATATTATTTTTTTTTTAAATAATGTTGAGGAGACAGTTGTCCTTTATATACATACTGGTACACATACAGTACAGAGAAGCATATTAAATAAAACTACACCAATGTTTTGCCCATTTGGGCAGTGGAGTGTTCTTTAACCTCTATAGACACCTGTCTTTCATCCACCAAATTATATAATTACATATGTTCACTAAATAAGTACAATTTATGTCAATTCCTCTGTTCTGACAACTTGCATCTGTCTTCTGTCATATCCTCCACCTCTGACTCACATATACAGGATTTCTCTAGGGTTACCCCATTGTCATGGAACGCAATGCTGCAATGCTTTCTATGGGAATTGTAAGATTTAGGCCATAACAGTCACGCTGGTAAATAACTGTGATGTACAATTTTTTTTCAATTTCAATTTGGCTTTAATGGCTTCTAATTGAATTCTCTTGTCATTTCTCCCTAGTTCTCTCGATTGATTAAATCCTCTACCTATAGCAATCTACAGATGTCTCACTTCAAACCTGTCCATAAACTATGAATAATCAAAATTAATTTTAAAAAAAATAACCTTAATTTCAGTGCATTTCTTTATTGTCTGGAAAATGAATACCTGGAAATGTCTTAAATCCCCAGAGTAGTAGTAACACAAATGCCTTGCAATATTTTGGCAAAATAACTTGACTAGAAACTCATTTCCAACTCAGCAAGACTACAGATATTCCTTCCACAGTTAAAATAGTTTTATTACTGAAATTTTAAAAAGTGACAGAGGGTCATTCTTTTAAAGGAACACTATAGCGTTAGGAATACAAATATGTATTCCTAACGCTATAGAGCCCTAGTCACCTAAATAATGGCCTGGTGCCCCTTTCCGCAGCAAATAAATGGTTAATTAACCATTTATTTGCTTACTTAATCCAGTGCCGGGCTCCCTCGGCACTGGTGACCTCTCCTCCATCGACGTCAGCTCCCGAGTGGAGCCGAATGCGCGGGCATTCAAACCCTTAATGTTAATTACTTAATGCTTTCCTACTGGGATCTCTTTCGATGCTGGAGGTCCGTGAGGATGTAAGTCCATAAGTGCGATTTAGTCAGTGTAAATCGCGGAAGCGCCTCTAGTGGCTGTCAGTGAGACAGCCACTAGAGGCTGGATTAACCCTGCAGTGTAAACATAGCAGTTTACCTGAAACTGCTATGTTTTCAGCTGCAGGGTTCAAACTAAGGGGACCTGGCACCCAGACCACTTCATTGAGCTGAAATGGTCTGGGTGCCTATAGTGGTCCTAAAAAAACAATGATCAAAACCGTGTGTTACAATGTCACTTTTTAACAGTATCAATACCAATTCCAAGAATAAAGGTGCTGGTTGGCAAATAGTAGAATTCAATGCTTCTCCTAAAGAAGTATTGCAATTGCAACATAGTGATGGCTACACATGCGCTCCGTGTCCGAATGCTTCTCTATAATGACTTCCCACCTTGCAGGGAGGAGCTGTGGTACGATGCTGGATTAGAGGCAAGTACTCTCTTTACCTTCAGTCTTAGTTCATTTTCGTATGTCAATTACTTGTCGAATATCGCCATTCAAAACCTGTAAAGCACAGCAGAATATATTACCTAATCATTTTTTTTTTTTAAACCAATTTTCAAATTACTATTTTGGAGTTTGGTGAATAAAACCAAACTGAAAACGCTAGTTAACCTGAGGACTGTCTCCAGTTAAGCTAATTTGGCTTAAAATCTAAAATTCACTATAAATCCCAACAATTCACATTTTATGGGACAGATGTTTTATCTGGTTTGGTTTAAACAGTTTTTATTGTTTTCTTCAATCATACATGTTTTCATTTGTTTAGTAACACCCCCTGCTTTACTGGATGTGGGTTTGTTTATATTCGGCTCTGGACAAGGGTCTGTGACATATAAAACGTAATTTTCTAGGTCATCACAGGCACTTCAACAGATTAAAATCCTCGTGCAGTTGCTCTCAGGCCAAATCATTTGCATAGTCTGGTTTTACACAAAACCACCTCTAATTTCCTGCACATTCACAGCTGTGTTATTGACTATAAAGAAACATTCTAGTGGCATAATTGTGACTTCAAAGTAGTAAGACACCATTTAATGAGAAATGTGAGGTGAGAATTTGAGCTGCATTCGAAAGAAATGGAAAAAGCTCCCACACATACAGAAAGTCTTACGGTTTTAGATTTTTTGAATTGGGACAAAATGTAGGAAAGAAAGAACATTTAAAGAAAATGTATTTGTGTAAACTGACAAAGAGAACTTTGGTAATATTAAGTGTTATTGTGTCTATCATGAGGTGAATATCTAGAAAATTACTAGTTTGCAGTACCGGTTTGTTCCAAAATCTATGCGCAGCAACCTGACATTTCTACTTAATTAATAATAAATAGATCTCCTAAAAGGCTGACTGGATTCTTTGCTTGCAGAAACCACGTCTGACACCCACATCCTTCTCACAAGGACCTAAATACAGAGAACTCTCTGTATTCATGTAGTGTTTGGGTGTACGACCTACCCTTTATAGGGTAGTTGGGTAAAGTAATGAATTTAAGGACATATTTCCAGAATAATAAAAGCTTGGCAATTAAAGAGACTCTAGCTAGCACAACAACAACCTATTCTTCTAATCTATGCTTTGATACAAGAAGATTCCTTGACTAGCTTTTCTTCATACCAGTATATAACAGCAACAATTTAGTAAAAAAGCAAACAGCACTGCAGATATAATGACTCCCTCCATTAGGTCTGTCGTATCATGTATCTGTTAAATGGACATTCCTAGCATCATAAGCACTACCGCCTGCTGTTCTGCTATGCTGTGTTGAGTGCCTTGGCACCCTCCCGATGTAAATAGTCAAACTGTTTAAGAATGGTTTGATGACTTAGCTGGGATCTGTCCAGTGGCCCTCTCCTCTGGATCAGGAATATAGAAATTTGATTTTTTTTGGGGGGTTGGGGGGGGATATTTTAATATTTTGAAAAAAAAAAAAAGTTTATCCAAAAATATTAAATCATTTGAAAATCTTATCCAAAAATATATTAAAAAATTTGCCATAACCCTGATGTCTCCTAGATTGGAAGTTCTTCCCCTCTTGCGCGTGTCAGTGTTACTTTGTCAATTATTTGCTGCAGTGTATTCCCACTGTATAATTGCTGGAGAATATGCTGGTGCTATACATGCTAATATATGTTATTATCACGTATGTCAGTCCAAATCCTAGATGTCATAAGAACCTACGTTTTCTTTGTCCACCACAAGTTGATGCATTACCCTCTATGCACAGCAGAGGGCTCCACTCAATGGTTGGAACATGTTTGCGTGAGGCATAGCATCACTTTACCTGTGAGTGATTTTCTTTAAAATTCTTGGAAACATAAACCTATTTTTGCTTTACAGTATGGGTTCCTCGATATAATTGTTTAATGTTTATATAACATAGGAGTTCCTTTAAGCATGAGTGCCACTGCTATCCACATCTAGAGGTCATATTCCCCATTTACCCAATTATATTGACATTTAAGTTGCCAGGAATAAAGTACTCTTCCCATAGTCTATATTCATGTTTAATTTGTTTAATCTGTTTTCTTAATTTTTGTATTTTAAACTAATTCAATAATTAGTGAACAAACCACTATATGTATACTTTGTGTTCTTTGCAGTACGTAAGGGCAACTTTATTGACTAAACACCTAACGTTCGACATCACACCACTGAATATATAAGCAAATGTTAAAGGACCACTATAGTCACCTAGACCACTTCAGCTCAATGAAGTGGTCTGGGTGCCAAGTCCCCCAGGTTTTAACCCTGCAGCTGTAAACATAGCAGTTTCAGAGAACCTGCTATGTTTACATTGCAGGGTTAATCCAGCCTCTAGTGGCTGTCTTCCTGACAGCTGCTAGAGGTGCTTCCGCGACGCTCAATGCGTAAATCGCATTGAGCACGCAGAACGTCCATAGGAAAGCATCGAGTAATGCTTTCCTATGGGCGGCTTGAATGCTCACATGCGCATTCGGCTCCACTCAGGAGATGACGTCAGAGGGGGAGGAGAGGTCACCAGCACCGAGGGAGCCCGGTGCTGGATTAAGGTAAGTGGCTGAAGGGGTTTTAACCCCTTTAGCCCAGCGGGAGGGGGGCCCTGGGGGACCTAAGGACTATATAGTGCCAGGAAAACGAGTTTGTTTTCCTGGCACTATAGTGGTCTTTATTTCTACAGATGCAATGAGATGAGGTCCCTGCTAATGTCGGTTATAATAAAGACACTGCATACCTTCATACTATATTCAAAAAGGTTTATTGCACTGTCAACATTTTAATCCAAATGGATCTTTTTCAAGCATGAATAGATACTTGCCAAAGGTCATGATATATTCTGCCAATGCAATAAACCGATTTAGAAGAAATTTTTTGTTAAAGTTATTTTTCCTAACATTTGATTGAATTTGAGTATAACTGTCTGGAATCTCTATACTGAAAACAAACAGGCAAATGCAAATGGTGGCTACACTAAAGACCCAATCAGAGACAGATTACCCATGCAGTGAATTAAGAATTTTCTAATGATTGACAGAGGAGATCTTAACTGGATAAATAAAAGGGAGTGAGAGCAAACAGCTTTCAACAGCTTTCCCTATCTATCCAAAGCATAGCGCAAATTCTGCTAGCACATGGCTTTGGCTGATTATCTAAGAGCCATGCATGCATGGAAAGCAACAACATTCTTCTATGCCTTTTATAAAGCACATGGCAGATAAAATTAAATTGTAAAGACATTTAATAAAAAGATCTTCTGATTCTAGAAAATTTTAGTTGTTTAATTGCTAGTTTTGTTTATAATTCCTTTGTCAGTTCTTCACAATTTGTGGTTGAGGGAATGAGCCCCGAAATAGTCCATTCAGTGGGTTTACCAGGCTTGTAACATAATCCAGCAGATGATGACTAGAGTTTACGCAAAAACTAGAAAAAGCAAAATTTAGGTTTCCTGGTTAAATTATGTGATTATTATAACAGCTTTCCCTCGGCGTCTCCACCAGATGTTATAGATCCAGCAGAATATTCTGTCCATCACATCCCTTTTCTGCCAATACGTCTGCGGAAATAAATTATTTACAGTTTTCTACTGGACGTGCTGCTCTGCACTGTATTAAGTACTAAGAGGTCCTGACAATATCTCCCTCCCTGTTTCCTTGGATCAATGTTGCGGAGGATGTCAATTTGTGACACGTGGTCATAACCCCTAATTCCGTGGCCAAGTAATCTTGGGCGGTGGGGGGATATGTTAACCCATCGAGCCTGAGCACAAGCGTTGGCACACACTGTCATATAATACAAACTCTCCAGATGAATAACACGCGTGGTTTATTTTTGCACACTATACGTACACATCAGTAATTTTCATTTTATTCTGCCACTGTCCCAGGAGAAAATGGGTAATTTAGAAAAAGAAGTGGAATAGTCAGTCTTTGGTTCCAGATGAACACAATCCAGAAAGATTTAGGACATTTGGCAGATTTAAATACATAACATTAACTTCTTAACAGAAATCTGTTATAATGCTGATATACAAGTTACACAGGAATCCCGAGCAATCTTACTCTCTAGCAGCTCACTCAGCCTATCACTTGTTTGCACAAGTTCATTCTGTAGCTGTCCCTGCAAGGACTATCCTTCCTGCATATGGAATTAATGATGTAGGTTTTTTGTCCAGAAAGCAAACAAACCCCATAGTAGCAGCCCCCACTCAAACAAATCGGTTTCATTCCCAGCTGTGTCTGTTTTGTGTGCTGTTCTTGGATATTTATTACATTTCGAGAGAATTACATTTAACAAATTACTATAAAGAAATACCAGGTGTGAGGCCACCTAATGTACGGTTATTTAGGCCTTGAAGAAAGAACAAAAGACAGGAACTTCTACTTGAGACACAAGTGCTTTATGTAAAAAACTGTTTCTGATAGATATGTGACCACTGGCACTGCAGCAGAATGCCCCATGGCTAACCTCTGGGCAATAGAATTTGAGTGACCGCTCACAGGAAGTTGTCACTGCTCACACTGTCAGGCAGAGAGCTTACCAAAGAACCAAAAAGCTTATTTATTAAATAGTGAGGTGACAAACAGTGTTGCAGATTTAGGCTAAAATAATCAAGTTGGATAAACTGAGTAGATTTGGGAAAGTTAAATGCTTTTCCAAAATCTGCTATTTTGACCCAAACTTTGCAAGTAAAAAAAAAACTATACAATTAACCATTTAGTAAAAATAAATAA